TCAGCCCGGGTGACAGAGCGAGACCTCGTCTCTAAAAAAATAAAAACAATAATAATAAAATATGAAAATAAATTCTTTCTTACTTTGTGGTCTTAGGCCAGTTAACCTTTCTCTATGTTTCAGCTTCCTGGCCTTCAAAAAGATACTATTTATCTCATCTGGTGGTTTTTAGCATTAAAGAGGTAACAAATATAAATGTTTGGCACATAGTAGGTATTCCATAAATAATTTCCTATCTTCCTTTGTCCTGAAATTTTTATTATGTGAACAAAATTGACCCAATCCCTAAATGTGATTGTTCTTTAACTTCTGACCCTGAACTCTACTCTGAATGCATTGACAGGGAAGTGTTGATCACAGTTGTGTGTGCCTGGGTGTTGTAACTCACTTGGATAAGAAAAGGAAGCTAATTTGCTTATAGCCAGAATATGACATTTTTTTTTTTCCTAGAGATAAGCGAAGATCTTATGTTCCAGAAAACTTTCATGGACAGACTTAATTTTTCCAGTTTGTAGTTGATAGTTTCTGCCCCTAGTTTGAGATTCTTGTGTTTTTGCTTAGTATAAACCAGTTGGTGAAAACTGAAAATGTAATGGGCAGATTGAGCATCCAAGTTCTCAGTAAACTTAGGCAGATAATTCTTTAAAAAACAAAATATCTAAGTAAATATTTATCTTAGATAAATATAATTGGTGTGATGGCTTATTATTATTATTAGAAGTGAAATAGCAGTCATGAAATCTACCCAGTAATCTACAAAATGTCCTGAAAATGTCAACTTTAAAAAAAAAAACATAAATACTTCATATGATTGACTCTTGTGTTTTGGTGCTTTGCTAACTGAAACTGCTCTAAAGAGTACACTCAGAGGCTTAGCATAAAATTGTTCCACTTGATTTAAGAAGTTAGTTTGACTCTCTTCATTTTATTACGAGAATAATAGGCTTTAAAAATGGTATGTTATCTTCTTAAGGCTGCCAAAGATACCTGTAGAAGAGAAGAGAGTTTTAAGTACTTTCTTACCAATTTTAATTTCATATTGGCTTTTGGAACCATAGTGGGAAAATTGTAAAAAAGATGAGAGTGAGATAAACAATGAATATAGCACTATTCTGATTAATTCACAATACTTTTAATGTATCTTCTTACCAGCAACATTTAAAAGAGTATAGAAAATCCTTTATAACTTATTGGAAGTTTTTGGAATAAACATTGATGGTCTAAAGCTGTGTTTAAACAATCGAATGTTATGTGTGTCTTTTTTTATCTACAATTTGTGTACAGTAGTACTACCTCTGCAATGAACAATTTAATTCACGTGGCTCTCACAAAATATTTTGTCCATATAAAATCACTGCAAAAATATGTATCATTTATTTATAGTGATTTATGTGAATTTATATTGAGACCTCAATGACATTAATCATTTTGAATAATACAACTATAATTTTGCATCCAGAATTACTAAATTATCTAAAGAGCATCTAGAGTAGTAGACCAAAAAAATTACATTAAATATACATCAATAGAACAATACAAAAAATTCACAAATTCAACCACTGGGACTATAACGTTTATTTGCTAATAGATATTTTAATAAACAGGCTTGTTCCATCTATAAGACCCTGATAATGCCTCTTAGGAAATCATAGAAAAATAAAATACAATAATTAGTAATTTGTACTTTGTACAAAAATCTTACTATGTTGCTCAGCAGGTAGTTTTGCTAAACACCATATTCTTTCAGCAAATAGATGACATATGTTGTGCAATTCACCACAAACAAACCCTCATGTTGAGAGCTGAGCATTCTATAACACTATTAACTTGTAAGCATGCCAGAACACGAAAGTTTGCATGGAACATCATAATATAGTAGATTTTTGTAAGATGAAAACAATA